AAAAAAAAAAAAAAAACAGATTTGTATTGTTGCAACTCGACATCATCGTGGTGGTCCGACGATTTGAGGGAGAAGAGAAGTGTTGGTGATGAAGGAAGGGTCTTTGTAGAAGCGCTAGGTTTTGTTAGGGCCGCGGTTTTGGTGGTCGTAAGGTGGGTCGCCACCGATCCACGTCTCACAATCCTAAAATATTTAGCAAGACCGTCGCCTTCCACCACCGGAGGTCCAGAAGAGGTGGCTACAGGCTTGCTCGAAATTGCCCACTGAAGATGAGCTATTATCACCAGTCTTGAAACTCGCATCTCTAAGCACTCCAGTCCGGAGAAAATAATTTATTATAAGAGTGCCCGACGGAGACACCCACCGATGATCGGAAGGAAGGTTGAGATCCAAGGTTGGGGTGTCAAATGAGCGGTAGGAGGGGGGGAGAGACAATGGGCAGGGATAGAGAGAGGGAGGGGGGGGGGGGGGGGGGGGGNGAGAGAATGAAATAATTAGGGTTTGAAATTGTGTAGGATTGGTTTAAATAAAAATTAATTTAAAAATTATTAATTAAAACATGATTTATGTATTATTAAACTTGATTTTGTATTTTTGAAAATGGAAACTTGAAAACCTGTAAGGGTGTAATTTCCTCAATATACAATCATCTTCTTCTTTCTGTACCGCATCAAACAGTAATACCTATCAAGATACGACGGCATGTTTAAGAAAATTTTAAAATAAAACAACAATATAAAAATGCATGTATAAGAAAATCTCAGGTTTATTATTGACATTTCTCATCTTAATTAAAAATGCATTTTCTTATTCATATGCCCTTGTTTGAGTCCTATTTTGAGAGGGAAAAAAAATACATTTTTGAATAGTGATTTTTAGAGAATGTGTAGTTAAAAATTAAGAATTTTTTTTTCAATTTACGCATAATATTATTTTATTGAAGAATTTATTATTAAAAATGAGTTATGAAAAATAAATTTTCAAAAAAAATGGAATTCAAATAAGGGAACAATACATAATTCCTAGTTTTAAAGTTTACATTTCATAAATAACAAATTTATTAAAATATTTCAAAAATCAGGTAGTAAATAAATTTATTAAATATTAAAATAAAATATAATATA